GTTTAAAGGGAAATTCACAGAACATTTTTAATTCATTCATTATCTACTCACCACGATGCCGATGGAGGGGTGGGTGAAGTGTTTTGTGGACTAAAACACTTCACCCACCCCTGGAGTCTTAGGGGTAAACAGTGTTGCAGCTGAATCAGATACAGTGAAAGTAACCGGCGACTTATACTTCAGAAAACTCAAACACTTCACCTGCCCCCACCATCAGGATAGTGGTGAGTGGATAATGAGGGAATTTTTAATTTCCTCTGAAGTATCCCTTTAAAGTCCCTCTGATCACATGAGACAACTTGTCCTGCTCTTCTTGTTTCAGGTGTATAGATGAGTGGTTCCAGGTGAATCGCTCGTGTCCGGAACATCCTGCCGACTAGGAGCTGCAGGAGTACAGTTTCAATCAGCTGTACATCTATGTGGCCCAACGCGTGGCTCCAACCTCATCCCAACACTGTCCGTTTGAGCCGAGCATCAGCTCCTCAGGGATTGTTAGTCCTTATTGTGTGCCATTTTTCATATTGCCTCACGGAACCGTGATGAACTTGATTGACTTTGGATATTTTTCTCTCGACGTCCATGTGTGACGTTCAAAGAATGAACCACTGGTGGAGTCATGTTTCCATTAATATGTGAACGTTCCTAATGCCACCTGCTGGCCTAAAGAGGGGCCATGCAGCTGAACTGTTTAGCTGAGCGGGATGTGTCATACAACAGAGGACTTGAATAACCATCATGGTGGAAGAGCCTCTGTTCAGCAGAGATCTGGGTCAGTGCCTGTTCAAAGACTCGATCAGATGGCTGAAGGCCGATTGTTGTGCAATGTGAAAAACAGCCATAGAGAATTAAAGAAATGCCAATATCAGCTTTAAGGGATGATTACAGTGTTGATTGTAGCTAGGAAATTATTTCATTGCAAAATTGGCTATCACTACTGTCTGTTAAACAATCATGTGCCCTAGACCAAATAGTCTAACATAGTGGGACTCTGTTAATCATTTGGCTGTTCAGAACCACAGTAATGTGATTTTGTTGTGAAATTAAGGTTAGGTTAAGACATATATAACGATGATTCACACTCTCTCTAAGGAGTGCCATAATATGCTGCTATGTCATAGACTGGAAAGTTTTCCTTTAACCTTTGAACGTTGGTTCATTGTATTTTGTATTTGTACTGTAATGGATTGCACAACAATAAATGTTTTGTTCTTGTGTCTCTTTCCTGTAGAATAACTATTTTGTACCTAGGGTTATATGGTAACTATATAATGTTACATCCGCCGAGGAGGTTATGTTTTTGTCTGAATGTTTTCACAATTACGCAAAAACTACTGGGTGGATTACCACAAAACTTGGTGGGAGGAAGTGGTACGGGTAAGGCAAGACACTTTTTATTTTGGTTCAGGATCATGATTTTTTTTTTCTCTTTTTCTTAAACGTGCATTGGGGAGTTTTGCAACATCTTTGTTGATTACTCAGAGAATAATTCACGGATCTTAATGAAAAAACTGACTGATATTTATGGGTTTCTGCAAATCCCAATGAAAATCCAGATCAAGTGAATTTAAATGTGGTTTCATAAGGGGACTGTCGGGCCTTGGCGGAGGTTTGTGCTCTCTGAGTGCCATTCTAATTAAAATGATCTCCATTCCATTAATCAGTGTATGGCATTTGCACTTCTGTCTGGTACGAAAACACAAGGTGATAGTTAAGATGGGGATTTAATCAATAAAAATTTTTTTTTTATATATTTAATGTTCACAGAATGAATGGATAATTCATACAAAAAGCAGACATGGGCTTGAAACTGGATTGTATGAAGTTAATAGTCTGATGTCATCATTGGTAAAATCATTTTCAGTATTAGAATCCCAAAAACACGAATGATTCCCCAAGTAGAGACCAGCCAAGAGAAGTGAACATAAGTTATTTCTCCCTGTGGGTGGGCATGCCAAGACATGGATCCAGTCATCTGAGTGTTGGATCTGTTTGTTGTTAAATGTGCAGTCAGAAGAAATGCCATCCTGAGGTTTTGCAGAAGTAATACTTCTGTATTTCATTATATGTAAGGGTCACAGCGGTTTGTTTTGTTCCTTGTAAAACAATTTAGAAGATAACACTGAAGGAGAACTAGTTGAAAAGAGCGGAGTCTTCACACAGAATTCACTTCCTTAAATAATGTACATCGACAGAGCGAAGATGCGTTTTTTAAGGTCAAATCTTTAAGTGTTCTGAGGTGTTCTTTTCTTTTTCTTTGTTAGTTATAAAACCATAAACCTCAATTCATTTATAATGCGTAACACGCACTTCTTTAAACCAATTTAGCAGAGTGGATTGTTGCGTATTATGTTTTTGTAAGTATCCACCAGCTCATATGGTTAATCACTGACTGCATTTTGTATTTTTAAATGTTTTAATATTGTCTATCGCTTCAATCACAACAAAAACCCAGAACGTGTGCACGTACAGTGACGTACCCACGTCGCTGTCGCGCGTTAGTGACGTGGTGTAAGTGCGATAACGTAGCACTGACGGAAAAGATAAAATAAAAACCAAACTGGGATCTCACTGGTTTACTTCCTCATATACACGCATCCCTTTCTGTTCTGAGGTAAGATGAGTGTCGCTTTGTTATTTTACTTCATTTCCACCCGGTGGTGTTTCTTTCTTCTCCATATTCAGACTTTCCCCGGTTAGCCACTGTAAGCTAGTTAGCTCGCTGCTATCTACAAGGCTAACTGCTCGTGCTCGCTCACACTCCTGAGCTGAAATCCTGGTTTTGCTGCTCGTCGTTGGTCACATACCTCTCAGTCAGTGTGAAGACAAACTCACACGTGTTGTTTTTCAGCTGGGTGATCGATCGGAGTCAAGATGTCGTACATGCTCCCTCATCTCCACAATGGCTGGCAGGTCGACCAAGCCATCCTGTCCGAGGAGGACCGAGTCCTCGTCATCCGCTTCGGACACGACTGGGACCCGACGTGCATGAAAATGGACGAGGTTCTGTACAGCATCGCAGAAAAGGTCTGAGCTCTTACTGTGCACAGTTTGATGTAGGATGTTAGCATTAGCTTGGGTTAGCGTCTCGACATGATCAACAGCACCACCTGCTGGTCTGCTGGAACACATCACCTGAGCGTGGTCAGGTCAGCGTGAATGTAAACATGAGACTTTCAGAGACAACACATGAAACCAAACCTCTGGTCAGTCATTCCCCAAACCACTCTGCACTCACTGAAACCGGATGCTAGATGCATAGACCAAATATACAACCTTTCTAAGTTCTAACCAACAGTTTACAGAGTTGATATCGCTGTTAAATAGCAACAGAGATGGAAAATAGTTCACATCAGAATCTAGAGTCTGATCGATTTATCAGTTGGCTGATGAAACAGATGTATTGACATTCATGACATTGATGTCAATACTTGTCAAAGAACAAGACTGATGAAAATATTAACATTTGTTTAATTTTACATGGTTTAAATTCGGTTTTCCTTTTTTAATATATGGTTATTCATCATAGTCAGGGTTTCCACTGGGAGACTCCTAAACAGTTAAACATTGTATTGGAAATTAAGGCCTTGAAATGTCTTAAATATAGTGAAATATTACAGTGTAGATCTATAATACCTTCATTCTTAATGATGTTAAGGTCTTAGTGTTAGGTTTATCTTAATGTGTTGCAGTTCATCAGATACCAGCACACTGTAAAAAAGAAAAACACAACCAATATGGAACTGATAATCTACAAACACGTTCACAATTTATCACCGTACACTTCAGAAAAGTCTCCAATTTAACTTGTTGAAACCTGCAGAAACCCTGTATGAAGTAAGTTCATGGTTAAACTACAGTGGCATCACATTTTGTATGCCTTAGTATCGCTCTCCGCCACCAAAAATCCATATCGGTCAGTCTCTATGATGATCACAAACTGTTGTTGTTGTAGTAATAACATAACTTTATGCTCAAACAGCTGCCGACACTCTGTTTTTCTATTACCAGCACTATTGGAACTCCACTCTGAGTTATACATTTTTAATATCCTTGTCTATTGCAGCGTCTCCAACTGTTGCAAAATTAATCAACTTAAAGGAATGGGTGCCTGTAAAATCCACATACGCTGTGGAGCGTTCAGAACTAACAGGAGCATAAAAGATTATGAGAGCACAGTTTTACTTGACAATCGAATCGATGTGCACGTGACCAGAAAACCGTGTGAGGCTCCTTCTCTTGGATGCTATAGATTTTCTCTAGTGCTCATTTTATATTAGCTGCTAAAGGATACTAAGATTTGTCACCATTTTCATCAGTGCGATCGCTGCTCTTGGCAGTCTACTGCTGATTTTACAACTAAGATCCCCATTACTGGATACTATGCTGATGTCTCTTGCTCTCTGTCAGCAGTTTATAACCCGATTCCAGTTCATGATGCTCAAAGATAATAAAGCTGCCAAAAAGCTCACTTATTGAACTCATTTCAAGATTTAACATATGCAAGTGTGTAAGCATATTTAAACTTGCCTAGTTTTAAAATCAATTCACTGGAATAGTGAGTAAAAAACTCTTTGCTGTCAGCAAAGCTCACTGTCATAATATATTGATATGTGTCCTGACAGGTTAAGAATTTTGCCGTCATTTACCTGGTGGACATCACAGAAGTTCCCGACTTCAACAAGATGTACGAGTTGTACGACCCCTGCACTGTCATGTTCTTCTTCAGGTAGGACACTAACTGTCTAGACTGCATAGCATCAATCCATATCATTATTATTACTTAAATTCTCATGATATTGTTATGGTCTGTCCTCAGGAACAAACACATCATGATAGATTTGGGCACCGGTAACAACAACAAGATCAACTGGACAATGGAGGACAAGCAGGAGATGATAGACATTGTTGAAACCGTGTACCGAGGAGCAAGAAAAGGACGAGGTCTGGTGGTGTCTCCGAAGGATTATTCTACAAAATACAGATATTGATTTTTGTTTTTCACTTACTACTTTTTTAAGATGTTTTTTTCTTCCGATACATTTTGTGACACAACACAGAGACATGTTACAGAAGTCAGAGACCTTTTTGTTTTCACCAGCAAAACAAGACTCTTCTTCATGCTCATGGTTGTGTGACATTGTGCCATGTATGTTTTTTGTGTGTGTGTATGTAGATAAACATTTTATTCAGTTTATTCAAATTAAGTTGTCGACTTATTTCTGTGAAACAAGTGCTGAAGAAACCAGACCTCTATTCGAATGTTGTAATAAATATGGACATTTACAGAAAGTAATGTTTGTAGGTTTTTGCTGTTTCAGAGCATTTTATTGAAACTGTTGCATAAATATGGATCAAATCATCTAATTGAAGAGAAAATGGCTCAACAAACTGAGTAAATGTGACTTAATTATTTTGAAAAGATTATTCCATATTCATCTGGGAAGAAATAACAAGCCTTTTTGTTAAGAAATATGTGGTACAACAGAATAAGTTTAACGTCTATGTTTTGATGATGTGCAGAGAGGGTGCAGTGCCCTATAATCTCCATCAGGTGGAGTCAGAGATGTTCAGGTCTGCTGTACAGATTGAGATGATCTAACCCAGCACTGAGTGATCTATCAAAACTACAATGTTGGACGTGTACACCCACACACAAAGAATTCTAGTCTCATTCTAAATTATTCTCAACCTCTAATGCCACAAAAATTCGGTATGAATGGGTTTAAGAAAGTGAAAACAATAATTTACTATAAATTAGAGCCATAAATAAGAGTAATGGATCAACAGCATTGCCAAGGTGTTGCATGATGGGTACTTTACAGGTATATGTTCAAGGTTGTGGCACTTGTGTATCACTGTAACACAAGCTCTTTTATGAGTGAAGGTATAATATTTGAAAACCTGTGGATTATTATTCTACAGCACAGGATAGATATAAATACCCTACACACACAGAGAGAACTATAACAATAGTAATTTCACAGTAATTACTGGGTATTATGCAGACACTGCAGGGAAACATCCACATGGCTGGGCTAACTGTTTATGGCTGTGATGTCCTATGGGAAGAAACAATTCTTGTTTCTGCTAGTTTTGGCGCTCAGTGCTGCGCAGCGCCTGCCAGAAGGGAGAAATCCACACAACCATTGGCCATGATGCGAAGTGTCTGTGACGAACAGAGGACGTCCACTGTAGTGTTTGTCTCTGAGGGGTCTCACAGTGACAGCAGGTGTGTGAGTTTCCATTTAAGAGCTGGAGATTTCCTCGCTCGATTTAACATGTTTTTTTTTCTCACTGTGACCATCACTGAAGTTTAGGAGCTATTATTATGTGGATGAATCCCAATGTGTGTTTTCTAAGTCCACAGTGTCTACACAAAATAGCAGCAATCCCTGCGGACCACTCCTCAGTGGGGCGATAACAGAGTAGGATAATTATTACAGGCCTTCAGTCTTGCTTGTTTTGTTTCCCCAACAGTTTTCATCATCTGCACACAGCCCTGACCGAAGTTATCCATCAGTAGGAGAGTGATGTGAAACCTAAGAGAAGTAAACAGAGCAGAGAAAAGAAGAACAAGGAGAAAATAGAGGGAGAGGGAGTTGTTGAGAACGAGAGAAATATCAGTGGATGAGTCTCATTAATATCCCTTAACCATCAGCTCAGTCTCTTACAGCTTCTCATAATCACACAGCACACTGCGCGGGAGACACGGTCCAATTTGTTGAGTGATAAATGAGGTGAAAGGAGACAAATTCTGACTCTCTCTGAATTTTGTGAGTGTGTTTGGACCAAAGACAGGGAGGGATCCTCTCCAGAGTAAATAGTCTGACCTCCCCACCTCTCCTGAGTGAGACAAGTCAGGAGACACTTGGGGTAAGACCTCCAGTCTCAGAGTGTGTGTGTGTGTGTGTGTGTGTGTGTGTGTGTGCATTGTTTGTGTCCTGTGTCCGTGTGTGTTCTCTTGGACAACCCACTGAACTGTACATCCTCGGTGTTGACATGTCTCCTGAAGCCCCTACTCGACTCTCAGCTTCCCACCGTCCGGTTGTAACTGCAGAAACCAACACTCTGACCACACTTGGCTGCTCTAGAGTAAAAAGAGAAACACACAATCTTTAAACTATTAGTTTTTCAGGAACCATAAGAATGCTGTGTTTTTAGGTTGCGTGCCATTCATTCTTTTTAAAAATATAACTGTATGAAAGCTGGAGCCTGACCATGACCTCAATGCGCCAATGAATATATTTACTGTTCAAAATAAACTAATTTCCTCATCTTTGTGTGTTTGTCGACTACGCTGAGGACCCATATACATCCCCTCCAGGCCTCCCATGTCCTTTCCACTTAGATTAACCTACAGACTGGCATGCTTTCGTCTGGCCTATCCCTGCAGGGCCTATGCACAGCGTCACTGTGCCATTGGCCTCATATGGAGCGCTGGGGCCAAAGGCCGCATCCATTGGTCCATTATAATTCACATTATCATGCATTGTTGTTCCCTATTACTGTTAATCAGCTCAGCCCCGGGGGGGAAAGGAGAGGTCTGGACAACGAAGGGTTACTGGGAAACCCCCGGTCTAGACACATATGGATACATGGCGGGATGTTGCGTAGAGCGTGTTTGTGTGTGGATGTTAGACAAGCAGAGGGAGGAGGAGTTGTTCCTCCTATGGACTATATGGGAAATATACACACCCAGCAATGACAGTGAATTAATCCGGGATCTGTTTTCAACTGATAGCGTGTAAGTGGATCTACACAAAGAGGGTGTAGTGTGCAGGCCGTGAGGATCATCTGGGTACCAGGGGGATGACATCCTGGCATCCCACCATCTTTCTCTTTCTTTCTCTGCCTCCCTCCCTCCCTCCTCCTTTTCTTGTCTGTCACTGTCCATGTGGATGCCCAACGCGGGGGGAAGGGTGAGCGGCGACAGTCGCCAATTTCTGGGACACCCCCACCCCTGCAGCTTCCCCTGTTGGCACCATTAAAGCCGTTCCCTTTTACCCAGTAACCGTGCCTCACTCAGCTGTGCTTCAGTTCTCCTTTCGAGCCAGTGGCTTTAGAAAATCAGCATCCAAGTCAGCTTGGATCATCATCATCATCCTCCTCATCATCATGAGTAAATCACTCATGGAGGTGAAAGGAAAACACCCAGGTTCACCTAAAACCCTCTTAAGGATCCTACATCACATATTGCATGTACTTATGTTTATGCATGGTGGCCTTCTCAACATTTTAAATTGAATTTAATAAATTTAAGAGCCTGAAGATGAAGAAGTAAATTATTTACACGCAAAGTACATACACCTTCCCCTCACTGTAACTACTGCTGGTTGTACTGTGGAAGTACAGTGAATCTAAATCCCTGGAAATCCCTGGAAAGTTTTTCCTTGACCTCTCATCTTCTACCTTTGGTGTTACAATTTTTTTTATCATTGTACTGCCTAGGCACCAAATTATTTTAATTAACCACTAGAATGGGACACAGAGCGCAAACCACCACCAAGGCCCGTCAGTCCAGTTAAATTCAATCAAGCTGAACAAATTTGCACACACCCATAGACAACCATCCATCTATTATCTTTTGAGGGTCCCTGGGGGAGCGGGAGTCAATCATTCCTTAAAAACGCCAGAATTCTTCCATCAAGATCCATGAATCATTCCATCGGAAATCGGTGAAAACGTCCAAAAACGTCCTATCGCACAATATTGAAGAAAGAGATAAAAATGTCCTGGATCTGCACTCTGCTCCGGGTCCAAACCGAAATTGAATGGGTTTTTTCCTGACCCATACCACATCCGTCCATCAAGTTTTGTGGAAATCCATTCAGTTGTTTTGGGGTAAACATACTGACAAACAAACACATTTGCAAACAGCAAAAGCCAAATATTACAGAAAATTCAAGAAAAATGTCCTTCAACTTCCACATCCCACAAACTCCAGCTCTCCTCTCTGGTTATATCACATCCTCTTTGCATAACCAGTAATCATCATCATCATCATCATCATATTGCATCAGTGCCATATCCATTCTCGAGCAGTGTTGTTTTACTCCTTCAGGTCTTTGTCGCAGCAAATGGGACCCAGTGGGCACCCATGGAGGATGTGGTCCACGGTCTGAGGAGTCTCGCCACAGAGACACTGAGAATCAGTGTTGATTCCCCGTTTCTGTAGATTGTGCCTACTTTCACTCCTGCTCTTTGCTCTGCAGTCTTACTTCCGGATTTCCGTAGAGTGGATGGCTGCGATCAATTAGTTGTTTATATCTGTCAGTTTACATGATTGTTTTTCGTCGGATGTGGGGCGATGAGATACTTCCGACCCATATAAGTCTGGAAGAGGAGCTGCTTTATATAACCGGTGAGAGCTTTCAAACCTCATCTCCCTGCTGACGGTTTTCATTCCCTAAATCCTTCAAAGGGAATACAGACCGGGAGACCTGATGGAGAAACAGGAGGAGATAGTTCTGTGTTGTATACATATCCTGAGATGGTGAGCGACAGCTTATCTCCAAACTGCCTCTGAAACAAGATTCTATTTATTCATCTGATTTGTTTATTTCTCTTCTGAAATCAGTTGTGGGCTTTAGAGTAGGTTTCAGTTTTGGCCCCATGGGGGAGTTACTCACAGTAAATGAACTATTGCCTACAGGTTGGTGGAGATTAACAAGAGCAGATGTTTCATACTGATAATATGCTGAAACACACACACACACACACACACACACACACACACACACACACACACACACACACACACACACACACACACACACACACACACACACACCCACACACACACACACACACACACACACACACACACACACACCCACACTGTGTGTCATTAAACAACTCCCAGCCTGCCTCCTCTCGTAGATGCTGACATACTTAGCAGCCGGGTGTTA